CCGCTTCACTAATTCCAGTTTACAGATCTCTTTGGTGAAACCTGTCAACTCTTGTGAAGCTGGAGCGAGCTCGCAAGCTGGTCGAGCCACCATGGTAAATGAAACTCCATGGCTCTTCAAGAAATGACAGGTACTTTTACAGGAGTTGACAGTTTTCCTCTACAGGTATCGTTTCGCGCTTAACAAGTTCCCAGGTCTCTACTTGATGGCTCGACACGTCGATGGTAAGTAGCAAAAATCCAAAATGCCCCCCCCCCCTCCGAACCCTCTGAACTGCGCTCTCCTAAGTGCTTGAAAGATCGCACTTTTCCTTTGAGTATTTCTATACATGCTTCAGCAAAATATATGCAAAAGTGTCAGTGGAGCAGTTAAGCACCGTTATATGCAGGAACATAATGGAAGACTTTTCAGATGCTCCGAGTTTTTAGGATTATTTTGTAATGAATACCAAGACAAAACGCTGCTAAAGTATTAGCTACTGTGGGCGCAGTAAAATGAAAAAAGATATTCTCTAGCTTCTCTCTTCTTGTAAATAAATAGTTCCACCTAAAAACCTCGTGAGGCACAATATAACACACTGGATTATCGAAAAAAGATAGTTTTGGTAGTGTTGTTGCGCACTTCGAGATTTTCAGGTGGAACACTTTGCTGTGCTTAATTTTCTTACACTTTACGCTTCGCTCTGATGTGTGCGACAACGAATTCTACGGTAGACGTCCTACGTGTTGACCTTTGTCTCAAAGCGTGAGGCGTATGAACAGACTACTTCACCAAAACCTCGAAAGGTACAAAAAACAGAAAAAAAAACACAAGTCAAACATTTAACAAGTGAGAAGCCAAGGAATATTCCAGAAAGAATAGTTCAAATAAATATAACGCACATTTGCTCTGGCTACATGATTGACGTCCGAATCAGAGAGAGCCCCTCGTTCTTCATCTATACTGCCGTCGAGGGATTGCTCACCGGATGATACAGCGCGAGGTCCCGGAGAAAGAACCTAAAATATCTGAGAGATGAAAACAATGGCCACAAAAACTGTCATCTATTAGTCATAGCTCTTAGTGGAATAATTTTTACAAATCAAAACGTCATGGCAACGTCAATGTTCCGATGGTTTCCGAGAATTTTCCATTCGTGTCATATCTCGAAAAAACACTGAGCGACTACCCTGATTCAAGACGGGGACCAGGGCACATGGCTATTGTGAAGTACACATCAAACTCACGACCTCGGAGCAGCTTAAAGGCCTGGGTTAGGTGATCAAAAGGAGGAAAAAAGGTAGATGTCTCATCCTTTAATTTGCCTTGCATGGCGGGAGGATCAAGGGATGAGGTCTCCGTCCATTTTTTTCTTTTTTTGACCAGCCGACTCGGGCGCTTATGCTGCTCCAGTGCTCTCAGTAGGTAGTATATGGTCGCAGGAGAATGACAGTATTTGACTTTTAGACTGTCAATGTTTTCTCGTCCAGGAGCCTCGCGCCAAACATCCCCACTCATAACCCTAGGGAGTATAAAGAGCATTTATTCGCAAGATTGCAGGGTCGCAGGAACACTTTCGGAATTCCAGATACAGCGAGCGCTTTTTCTAGACTTTTTTTTGCATATTTTAGTCTTCTAGATATTTTAACCCGCATTCACTTCTTACTAAATATGTATCTTTCACACAGGCAGAACAAACAAAAATACCTAAAAAGAAAGCCAAAAGAAATAATTTTCGTGTCGAAGGTGCGCTCTGCACATGGGTGAGCTATGTACCCCAGAGAGGAGGGCACTTGTCTGCCCCCACTTTCCCGCTCTTCCCCTCAACGGAGTTTGGCGGGAGGTCGTATCGGAGAAAAATCTTGCAATCCGTTATGGATTCTGATTGAGAAGTCAGGAAATAAAAACAAAGAATCGATTTGAACCCTGCGATAAATTAATAACAAACCTCGACGAGGTCGTCATGCTCCACAACGTCCATCTCCTGGAGGCAGTGGGGATCGGACATGTTTAGTACCTAGAAATGCTTATAAAAATGAAGAAAAAGTTGCCCTCTAGTGAGGAAGCTATGCTCAACGTGTCCAGAAGCAATACAGACATTTAATGAAAATGCTAGCGTAGATTTTTAAGCGCTAACCGAGAAATGAGCATCTGAAAATAAAAGTTGTATAGGGAAAACAATACAAAAATGGGGCAGACTACAAATAAACTGTAACACGTCAAGGACCGTGGTACTTGGCGTACCTCAAGAATTTCTAGCAATTTTCCTCGATAATTCGGGATCTATCGATAATTCAACTGACAGTAATATACAGATGTTGTTTGCAGAATCAAAGGGCGTACAGATAAAACTCCAGAGCGTGGTAAAAAAACAACCCAAAGAAATCAATGAAAAAAAGATTCTTTTCCATGTCACGCGGTCCGCGATGTGTTAAAAAATTCTACCAAGCTGTACCGAAAAAAAGGTGAAACAACTACTAACAGGTCTGCCCATCTGAGGCTGCTATATCACTGAAGACTATAATTCAACAAATAAATTATCTCTTGTTCAAAGAACGGAATGAACCCTACACTTTTCGAGAAAACTTAGGGCATCAACCCTTTTTCACAGCAACTAAGAAAACATTCGCAATGTGGCCCAATGTGGGCTTTTGGCTGACTTCTATTTTGTCGACACTTCCTGTTGAGATCTGTAATCTAAAACATTTACGACAGTGGGCAGGGCTTCCACAAAGTGGGCGGAGCTTCACATAGTGGGCGGGAGCTGTAGGGGCGGTGCCCACAGGATTGTCTAGTGTGGCATGGTCAACAAAATCTAAAATTGGGTTTGAAAAAATCGTAAATTTTGTTTGACGGGTCAAAAGTCGTGGATTCGAATGAAAATGGTACATAACCCATGCAACAAAATACTGAGCAATCATACGCTCATCGACGTTAACACAGATAAGAATAAACAAAAAAATACATAAGAGGAAATCCACAAAAACATTGATATCGTTCGAGACAAATGTGTGCCCTATCCCCCAGAAAGATCAAAAATACGCATCAAAA